GCGAAAACGGCTGCCCTATGGAAGATCTCCACTGGACTGTGAGTTTTGACCCCATTGGAACGCATTGAAGGGGTTTCAATGCGTTTCAACGGCTTTTTTTCACTTTACGATGTTTTCACTTAACGGCGATTTTCCTGGAACGGATTATCGCCGTTAAGCGAGGCACCACTGTACTGCTTGCTGGATTCTGTGGCTCCTAGTATTTGTGCACTGTAACCTCTCTTTTGTTTTAAAATGTGTGTTTAAAATGTGGCTTCAAAGTCTTTTTTTCTTTGGGGATCTGTTTGCTGTAATAATGGTTGCTGGTTGTTGATGGAGGCATGCAGGCTTTAAAACGGAGTTTAAAATGGAGTTTTAAAATGGAGTCTACGGTAGACTCAATTCTCTCTCCCCCCCATTGTCTTATCTCTCTCTCCCTCTATGCTCTCTTTTTGTGGTGAGGAGTTCTGTGCTGGAATAATGCTTGCTGGATTCTGTGGCTCTTAGGTTTTGCGTACTGTGACCTCTCTTTTGTTTTAAAATGTGTATTTAAAATGTGGCTTCAAAGTCTTTTTTTCTTTGGGGATCTGTTTGCTGTAATAATGGTTGCTGGTTGTTGATGCAGGCTTTAAAATGGAGTTTACTGTAGTCTCAAGGCTCCCCCCCCATCCATTGTCTTATCTCTCTCTCCCTCTATGCTCTCTTTTTGTGATGAGGAGTTCTGTTCTGAAATAATGCTTGCTGGATTCTGTGGCTTCTAGGGTTTGTGTACTGTGGTGTGCTGAACAGTCATGGCTCCAAAGAAAGAGCAGAGCAAAGGCAAAAAAGAAAAAATCATCTCCACTGAAACAAAAAAGGACATCATCAAAAAGCATGAAAATGGCATGCGTTTGTCTGATCTGGCCACTGTATTCAAGATGGCAAAGTCAACCATCGGCACCATTTTAAAGAAGAAAGATGTCTTGAAAGACATTGATGTGGCAAAAGGAGTCACAATCCTAGCAAAGAACAGTCCATCCCTGATGGAAGAGGTGGAAAAACTTTTACTGGTGTGGATGAATGAAGGGGAAAACATCAGTGAAGCTATCATTTGTGAAAAAGCGAAGAAGCTGCACAGTGACTTAATGGAAAGAAACACCTCTGGAAGTGCAGCGCAAGAAGAATTCAAAGCCAGCAGGGGGTGGTTTCGAAAGTGCAAAAAGAGAAATGGCATCCACAGTGTTGTAAGACACGGGGAGGCTGCAAGTTCTGATTATGATGCTGCAGAAGCCTTCAAGTTGGAATTTGCCAAATTCATCAACAAGAATACCTCCCCCTGCAAGTCTTCAACTGCGATGAGACATGGCTGTTCTGGAAGAAGATGCCCAGGAGAATCTACACCACCCAGAAGGATGAGAAAATTCCGGGCCACAAACCATGAAAAACAGATTGACCCTTTTGTTCTGTGCCAACACCACCGGCGGTCTGAAGATCAAGCCACTGCTGGTGTACCATTCCCAGACTCCTTGCCCATTCCAATGAGAGAACATTAACAAGGCCACACTGCCAGTCATGTGGAGGGTCCATGCAAGAGCTTGGATGACAAAGCTCTATGAAGTCTTTGCACCCACTGTCAAGAAATATCTTTCGGACAACCAGCTTCCTGAGAGGTGCCTTCTTCTGATGGACAATGCCCTGGCACACACCCCATCCTTGGTGGATGATACTGATGTGGATTTCATCAGGGTCAACTTCTTCCCCCCAACACAACACCGCTTCTGCAGCCCATGGACCAGCAAGTGATCAGCAACTTCAAGAAGCTGTACACAAAGGCACTCTTCACCAGGTGCTTCAATATCACCAAGGAGATGTCCTTGACCCTGAAGGAGTTTTGGAAGACACATTTCAATGTCCTCCACAGCGTCAGACTCATTGACAAGGCCTGGCAAGATGTCACAACTAGGACCTTGAACTCAGCCTGGAGAAAACTGTGGCCAAAATGTGTCACAGACAGTGGCACTGAGGTGACTGGTTCACAGGTGGTGAGGGACATCATCTCTATGGGTGAAGACATGGGTCTGGATGTCAACAAAGAGCAAAAAAAAAAAGGAAAGCGCAACTCCGAGAAGCCACAGCCAGCATGAAGTCTAAAATGTCTGGAGGACCAAAGGTTGAGAACCTAGGACCTCGAGCTTCCACCAGCTGATTTCAGACAACAATAATGTCTTCCATCTGCAGAAGACAGGCGCCTCACCTGTATTCTGTCAGTATAGTTGTCCAGCAGTAGGACCCCTGAGCTGGTCACCTTCTTGGTTTCCACCATGGTCTTCAGGTCAGCCAACAGACTCATATGTTTGGACATGTCAGTAGCCAGGACCTGCAGGGAGACAGATGCCATATACTGTAAACACAAGAACCGTCTGCTCCTTATTTGCACAGGCTCCAAAGTTTCGCTCCTGCCCTTCCCAGACAAGTTGAACACTTTTGTGGATACACACCATTGCCAGTGTAGTATAGTTTTTCTTTTCTTTTTTTTAACATCCACTAATGCAGTGATAGCCAGCATTTAATCAGTGGCCTTTGGATGGATTATTTTAACCAGATAAATTTATATTTTATACTAAGTGTATACATATATATATTTGCATACTACCAGAATATCAGTGAAATAAAACTTCCATCCTGCCTGACTCCTGGTACTGCCTGGTACTGTACTGTACGTACTTTTTTTTCTGGCTTTTTTAATTTTTGCTTTTTGGAGTTTTTACTTTCTTTTTCAAAACAGAGAGACTGCCTGTTCTGGGTGAGTACACTGTATTTACTGTACAGGGGTTTTGCAGCTTGGGTTTGGGCTAGGTGGGGGGATTATCTTTCTGTGCTCTGATGGGTCTTGCAGTGTGGATTTAAAATGTGAACATTTTTATTAAATTAAAATTAAATGTGAAAATTAGACTGTAATTTTAAAATATAAAATTCATTTACAGTGGTACCTCACAAGACGATTACCCCTCAAAACGACGAATCCGCATGACAATGATGTTTTGCGACCACCATTTTGATTCACAAAACAGTGATTTCTATGGGGGAGTTTCGGTGGACAACTATTCGGTCCATGCTTCGCAGACCATTTATTTGCAAGATGACAATTTAAAACAGCTGATCGGCAGCTTGATCTTCACAAAACGGGTGTTTTCAGGCCCATTTTCTGCAAGACAACGATTTAAAACAGCTGATCGGCGCTCATAAAATGGCTGCCCTATGGGCGATCTTCACAAAACGACGAGGTATTTTCCCCATTGAAACACATTAAATGGGTTTCAATGCATTTCAATGGGGAAATGGTTTTTGCATGACTATAATTTCGCTAAACAGCGATTTTCACAGAATGGATTATCATCATCATGCGGGGCAACACTGTATTTATTTTTGCATTCTGTGGCCTCTCTTTTGTTTTAAAATATGTGGGTTTAAAATCTGACTCCAAAGTCTTTTTGTTTTAAAATCAGACCATTTTCTGCAAGGGTCTGTGGTGGCTGGCATGTCGTAAAATGGAGTTTAGACTCCAAAGTCTTTTTGTTTTAAAATCAGAACATTATCTGCAAGAGTCTGTGGTGGCTGGCATGCCGTAAAATGGAGTTTAGACTCCAAAGTGTTTTTGTTTAAAAGGTGTTTGGTTTGGTTTAAAAGGTGTTTGGATTGTAAAGTGTTTGGTTTAAAAATTGTTTGATTTAAAATGTGTTTTGTTTAAAAGGTGTTTTAGCCTCTAAACTCTCTCCCCCCATTGTCTTCTCTCTCTCTATCCTCTCTCTTTTTGTCCTTAGCAGCATAAACCTTTATCTGAGGGCTCTGTGTGCCCTAGTGATGACCTTCTTTCTTTCTTTCTTTCCTCTTTTCCCCATTGTTCCCTCCCTCCCTGCCTCCTTTCCTGCCCCATTTTTTAACCTAAGTCATCTACAGTAGGTTAAAAGAAGAAAAATTCTCCCCCCAGTGGTAGAGGATGGATTAACTGCTTTTGCATTAGTTCCTATGGAAACGAATGCTTCGACTTGCAATCGGCGCCTCTACATACAACCAAAAAACAGCCGGAATGGATTAATCGGGTTTCAATGCATTTCAATGGGAAATGCTGATTCGACTTACAACCATTTTGACTTACGACCATCTTCTGGAACGGATTATGGTCGAAAGTTGAGGCACCACTGTACTTCTAAATTGATCACAGGCTTACAATGACCAAATATTAATTTGCATTCTATTTCTGAGCCAGTCATAAAATCTATGCCAACAATCCTCATGGTTCGTCTTTCTTGTTGGATCTAACCATTCTGATAATTTATCAATTTCCACCGTTTCCAGAATTTTTGCTATTAACTCATCTTGTGATATATTCTCTGGGTCTTTCCAATGTTTCGCAAAGAGAATTCTTGCAGTTGTCAAGATATGGATGGTTAAATATTTTTTCATTGGTTCTATTGAGTCCGGAATTACGTTTAGAAGAAAGAATTCAAGAGTTACAGTTATCAGACTCTCTAGAACTTCTTGCAAACGCATTTCAACCCTTTTCCAATATGATGGAAAGAACCTTCTTTTTGTTTACATCTCCAACAGAAGTTTGAAATTTTTACATCAATTTTGGCTAGCTTTGTGGGAGTTATATACCATCTGTAGCACATTTTATATATATTTTCTTTAAATGCTATAGTGCCTTGGTAAGTTTTATATTGTTTTTCCATATTTGTTCCCACTGATCCAAACTTATATTGTGCCCAATATTCTTTGTCCGCCTTATCATACATTCCTTAACCACCTCCCCCTGGGTATCAAAATCCAATAAAAAAATTATATAGGGCTTTAATATGCTTATCCATGAGGATTCTATCAAAGGGAGTATTGTTCACATAGAAACCTTATTGCTTACCTTTACAATAACTTGACATTAATTGGGTCACATTCCCAATCAAAGTTTTAATCTTGAACCCATCACAGATTCTTTGATGTGTTTTATTTTTTGACAAACATCTTTCACAACATTTTTTTTTTAGTTCTCCAAGATTCTCCACAGATATATATCTAATTCCCAATAGAAGAGAGTTTTCAATACAGATACAAGGAATTCTAGATGGATTAGAAAACACTATTGGTAAGTAATCTCTGTCAAATCTCCATAAAAACCAGATATAATTTTTACGGTTGTTGTGGGTTTTTCGGGCTCTTTGGCCATGTTCTGAAGGTTGTTCTTCCTAATGTTTCGCCAGTCTCTGTGGCTGGCATCAATTAATAAGAACTTAAACCATACTGTATGATCATCTGAACATAGCTGACATTGATTTCTGGAAAAATGATTTGGTATATATAAAAATCATTTGTTACACTTTTTAAGAAAGAAAAAGGTAGGTAAAATTCCTAGAAAGTATGTTTATTAGTCAGTTCTTATTTATCAGTGCGCTGTTGCTAGTGAAACAGAGTACAGGTGAATGGATGCCTAGTGGCTGATGTGCACGGAGCAAACAAAAGAGGCCTGGAATATGACATTTTCAGTTGTCGATTAAAGCAAAAATGTTTTGCTTTGGAAACAGCAAAATCAGAGTGGCTTTAATACTGAGGCAGTACGTAGCACAAGTAACAAGAAGTTTGTGGTCTCACTGAATAAAATCAACCAAATGTCTTGGAAAACCAATCAGCATCATTCAGGTCTGTGCTCCAGCTACCAACGCTGAAGAAGAAACCTAAAGCTTTTGTGCAAGCATCCAAGAAGAAACAAGAAACGCTGATTAACATTTACATTCCTTTTTTGTTCTGATCCCAGAATGGAGAATTTTGGGAGTTCCACGTGACAGACACCAAGAGTCACAATAGTCTAGCATTTCAGGATTTTAGGTGACAGTGTCATAGTTCATCAAATGCTTAATGGCACAGAGTGTTATTGTACCTTTGCTCCGGTATGTTGGATTGAATTCTGACTTACCTATTTGCCTGGAACTTTAGTTTTTATATATTTTTAAATATTTGTGCATGCAGTTTTTTTCATGACTGCAAGAATGTTTTCAATACAGTTTGATTTGTTACTTTGTAAAGTGTCTTTGTATTTACTGAATATAAAAACAATGTAGATAAATATAGTTTGTAGAATTAGTTACTTAGAATTATTGCATCAGTGAAAAGACTTATACCTTGATCCTCAGATGAGTATTGATATAATTGTCAATTATTGTTTTGTTTCATTCTGGAATTAACCCTTAATTGGAAAATCCCAGTTGGGATGAACACAGGTTTCTGATTTTTCCTTAGATGTCTATAAAGGATGCTTAGGAATATATATGTTTGTGCATCAAGGTCCTTGACCTGACACAATTGCTTTGCATGCTCCTGTGAGTTATTATGCTAGAGATTTTGAAGTGAACTGAACTGATGTTTCCATTATTGCCAAAAGTGTGTTTTTTTCTGATTTAAAATGGTTCATACTAAAGAGAATTGTGCTCTCATATAGATATTTGTGTTCCTTTTGAGTGCTCCATGATTAATTTCTGAATTTATAACTGCTTTTGGATTAAATCTTATTAGATCAGATTGTGCCATTTTCTCAAGATCCTGAGCTATCAATCTTCATCATTCAATCATTACATAAAACAATGCAACCATATATTGAACCAGACCAGTATTCTGCAACATGGCCCAACTGTGATCTCATTCTAGGAACAGATCCAGATTATGAAAGCAAGGTATGTTTTGAACATGACACTATGTAATAATAACATTTAAATACTGAAAGTATATCTTCTTCGTGGTCTCTGTGAATGCACACTAAATGGCTTTAATCTGCGCCTGCGCAGAGGTCTCTAGAATATTATAGAGGTCAAGCATGTGTTTGCCAGGACCGCCCCCTTAGCACACATGGTCCACCCGTCCTGGCAATTACCTCAGTTCCTTTTTGCCACCACTGAGGTCTCATCCTACGAGAAGCTCGCTGCTCGTGTTTCTTTGTCTCTTAATCTCTAAAATGAAAGAAACGGAATGAATCATTCTTATAGAAAATAGACTGAACCACTACAGATTTGTGAGAGACTTTGATTTTCCTTTTTCCCCATTTCCAGCTCTCTCTGACGGCCATGATTCTTGTTTATTTTGCCTGTGGGAATCTCATCAACTGGCCTCTTGTCATTTTTGTAAAAACTTCACAAAACAAGTCCTCAAACTTTGTCTGCATTGACTGAAATCTTCTCTGTAGGAGTGATCCCTCCGTCTGCCATCTACCATGGACAAGGCACAAGGTTCACAACCACCCCGCTCCCTACTGACACTAATTCTCTATTACCGACAACCAAAACCAAATCAAAATTGCCTAAAAGAAAATCCTCAGAATTGACAGCTCGGTTAACTCCAGCACTGAAATCCGTTTCGAAACTGGTTGGTTCCAAACTCAAGAGACCCAAGAAATTTTCCGTTGAATACCAGTCTCCTGCTCAGCAACCTTCCACTCAGTATCAACCTACCATAGACCTCGATACCGACCATGATTCCATTCCACCTCCATCTGGTCAACTACCCTCTCCTCTGTTGGCCCAATCTCTATCGTGGGCGGATACCTCAGCTGAGGTAATGGTATTACCATATTCAGCCTGTTCAAGCCCTAAATCTCTGGGTTGCTCTGTGTCCGGTGTGAGTCTGAGTCAGTATCTATCCCTGCTGATCCATTGCCCTTGTGTAAGAGGAAAGCGAAAACACCATATACAGGACACAATCCATTCCGATACCGGACATTCACAGCCTTCAACACACTCGGGACTGTCAGTATCACATGACTCTCGGGCTCGACAACATAGGCCCAAGCGAGTCACTGTCTATGAGCCTCCTGTCTATTTATTTATTTATTTATTTATTTATTTATTTATTTGATTTATATCCCGCCCATCTGTCTACTACAAACCTCCCACCAATCGATATCAACATCGCTCATACCAATACATGCAGCCCGATACTGGGCATTACGTTGAACCCAAGTGTCTTCGGTACGCATATTACTATCCTTTGGACTCTTCTGATTCTCCATCACCTCCTCGATACCCTCCGAGGAATGTCTATGAACAATCATTGGACGATGATATGGTTCATCCTCCATCTCCTCTGGTACCAAAACTCCACAAAGCTCATAAGCGACATCATGTTCAGGCTACCTTGATTCAGACTTCTTCGGTATCAAAGAAACCAAAACCATTGTCTAGCTCTACTTTACCACCTACCAATTCAGCTACACTCACAGATTCGATCATGTCCCTTGCAGGTTATCACGACTTATACCAGACCCTCACCAGGATTCATAGATAATATCAAACCTCATAAACATCTTAAATTGAACCAATCTGCTCAACTGGTACCATTAAAGCACGATACCATAACTTCTAAGCGCCACTTACCAGACGCTCCTCCTGGTACATCAGCCTCCTCGTACCGAGAAGGTTCATCACCTTCACCTGTACAGTTTTCCGATTCTGACTCTTCAGATTCAGTGGCATTACAGGAATCATCTCCTAATCTTCCAACACCCAACTCCAATGTAGCTGATATCAACCCTCCATCCCCATCCAAGGATTTTTTTTTCATACTCGCAACTGGTTTTACGCATAGCCAAATCCATGGATCTGGTCATTCAACAACCAATTCAATCAGAATCAGATAAGATATATGAAGATATTAACGAAGACACCCCCACTCTGTATGGGCTTCATTCCATCTCTTCTCAAGTCAATTAAGCAATCCTGGTCCAAATCATCTTTGGTACCTCAAATCTCTCAGAGAGTTGAGAATTTATGCAAAGCCCATGGTCAAAACACCAAATTCTTTCAAAACATCCACCTCCCAACTCTGTGATTGTGGATGCAACACAGAATAGAGCGCACAATCGATCTAATGCTACTCCCAACAATAAAGAAGGCAGGAAACTGGACATTATTGGCTGTAGAGTTTACTCTTTGGCATCCTTCACTCTGCGTGCTGCCAACTATTTAGCAGCGATGGGAATTTATCACAGATATCTTTGGAATAAAGCTCTTCCAACACTGCAGTCAGTCCCTGCAGAGTATAATCCTCGTGGCCTCACTTATCATCAAGAGGCTTTGGCATAGGTTCCCAAAGTGGTCTTTATGGACCCCCAGGGGCCAATTTCAACTTGTAGGGGGTCCACATCAGAGAGGAACAAAATTGGGGTGCACGAGATGTAAATGGATGTCTACATGAGCAGATCCCATTAGGCAGATCATAATAAATATTTAGGTGATCCGTAATGACACCAAACACAGATTCTGTGTACATAATATTTCGTAAATTATTTAATTAGGCACTGTACTATGTACTATCTGTATTGTTGTGTGCTACATTCATGTCTGAGTTTGTAAAATTATTGGTAAAATTTTATGGTAAATGTCAGTGTGTTGTAAATGGGATCAACGACATTTTGTCATTTCACATTACTGAGCTATACGGGCACATACATCGTGCATGTACGTACTTGTTTAGACTTGTATCAAAGCTTTGCATAGACTTGTTTAATTCAATTTATCAATTATAATAGGAGTGTTGGAGATGTTCAGTTGCTTTCTGAGTTTTGAGAAGAAAAGTGGCTTAAAATACATTCAAAAATATAGATAGAAAATAGGTAAAAGTAAAGTGAGTCAAAATCATCTTCTTTAGGAGTGCCTAAGAAAAGCAAGTACAAAATTTTATACATAGTTTGTAGTTATTATGATTGCATAAAGCCATATACGTATTTTCATGGACATTTTAACATTTTAAAAAGTATCTTTAAGGGGAGCCAGTGGTGCCTATGCTCTAAATTACATTTATTCAGAGACTGTTAGTGATAAACACCTGAAACTTTTACAACATGTTTATTGATTCGTTTATAAGATTTTCATGAAGGCTTTCACGGCCGGGATCTAATGGTTGTTCTGGGTTGCTGTCCTCTGAAGATGCCGGCCACAGGTTGCTGTCCTCTGAAGATGCCGGCCACAGAGACTGGCGAAACGTCAGGAAGAACAACCTTCAGAACACGGCCAAAGAGCCCCAAAAACCCAGAACAACCATTATAAGATTTTAATGCAGAAAGATTAATATTTTGGCTTTGTTTGGTACGGTTTTTCATTAAAAGCCATTTTTAAACTTAAAAATGTGTTTTTTAGAATTTTATCTTTTGTACCAAATATTTTTGTTTTCCTACATTCTTTCTCTTCTTGAAAACATGACAATTAAATTGTGTCATCATCACTACAAACAGTCTTCACGCTCGAAGTATAACTGTCACCAACAATACACCTATTCAGTAAAACGAAACCATAGAAACACAAGATTTTTTTTGTTCTTAACACTTCATTTGTCACAAAGAAAAACAGAATAAGTAACCTTAACACAGAAAACGTGTCTAAGAATATGACATAATCTAGTCCAGAAACAGAAAATCGAATGTGCTCATGAGATGATTTCAAAAGCACTCACCGGCAACGCCCACTTTCACCCTAGCCATGCCTTGTATAAAAATGCATGCTGCAGGCAACTATAAAAACTGTAATAATTCTATTTCTAGGGTGGATAGGACAATGAAACAAAGTTTGCCAGAAAGCAGAAAGTTTGATCTATTTTTTAAGACCAAAAACTTAAAAAATGGTAATTTCTTCAGCGTGGCCTCTGTGAATGCACACAAATGGGTCATGAAGTGTCTGCACTGAACATCCTGGAATCTTCTAGAGCTTTTGAATAAAGTAAAAAAGTTTAGAATTGCCCCAATGCGCATGCTCCATCCGCCTCAGCCCTCAGTTCCATTTTTACCGCCTTGTGATTGGAACCTCTCTGCCTAGAGCTCCATATTCTATTCTCTTATTGTGGATTATTTGGTTTTGAATCAGACTGTGCCTCGAAAATCCTCTTTTTCTGTGTGCCCGACTTTGGACTGCTTGACTAATCTTCGGATATTCCCCTGGACTTACTGTTTCAGAACGCAATAGCTTTCCCGCCTTTTTTACGATCTGCGGCTTATCTTCTCTGCTGACAGTGAGTTTTACGATTCTCCTCACCTTTATGTCCCCTTCGGGTTCCTTTGGTCGCTGCTCTGCCTGCTCCCGAAAACTGCCTTTTCTGACAGACACGATCTTTGTCTTTTTTGCTTGGGCTAATCCCACCAGCCCCAGTCGTATAAACACTGCAAAAATTTTACCAAAGTGGCGTTAAGGGCTCGGCAGCAATGACTGAAACTCTTCTTGTGGGACAAGACGCTTTCAGCTTCCTCCCCCTCAGAAATGGAGACCGTGGGGACACCATCTTCTACCCCTAGATTGGAAATACTGTCTACTTCTACACCACCGGCTTAATCTTCAAAACTTGTCGAGAAACCTGCTAAAAAGTCTGCTAGTAAAAATATACCTACTTCGGCTTCAAAATCTGTTAAAGACCTGAAACAGAAAAAAGTTTCATCAAAGGACACGGATAAGACTAAGGCTGTTGTAACCACCCTCCCTCCGGTCTCAGCGTCGGTTCCCTCGCCCATTTTGCAGGATTCGTCGAGAGACCCAGAGTCTTTATCTGAAGCTCCAGTTTTTCTCTCACTTTGTCAGCCAGACGCTTGTACGGAGAAGGGAAATCAGTCTCCAACTGCCAGCCAGCTAGTTGAAGTTCTGTCTAGCTCGGCAGTTGTTCATGTTAGCCCTGTTTCCACCGGATGGGCATCCCCATCTCC